TTTATAATGAACCAACAAAACATAATAAATATATATGAACTAAATTATTAATCAATGTGGAAATTTATTAATCAACAAAACATATAATAATAAAACATAATAAAACATAATAAAACATAATGTTTTAGGAGAACCGATAAACTAATGAACTAAGCAATATTTCCACAAATAAAAAGTATCATAATAAATATATAATAATATATATATTCTTATAAAAAGTATTTAATTTTCTAACTATTTTTTCTCATTAATTTTAAATTTTAAGAAAAAAATTAGCGAACACCCGTGTAATACACGGGCGTTGTACTAGTTATCAATATAATTAAATAATATCAACCAATTATTCTAATACATCACATAAACTTTAATACATTATTCATCCACTCACATAATTTTAACTAATCATCATTTCATATTATCTCTCCCATACTTTTCAAATAAACTTTAAATATTTTATTTTAAATATTATTTTAACATAAACTTAAATTCCACTAATACCTAATTGTACCACTTTTTTCAAAATTAACGATGATTAACTAAAAAAACTTCATTTTGAGCATATATATTTGTATACAATTGAGTAAAACCTTGAGAGTGCAACAAGCCTAATTATCAAAAACACTGAAATATGGATAATAATAATAATAATAAAGTGATGAACTACAGAAAGATTAATAATCAAATTTACTCATTCCTTAATAACCATGTTATTCCCTCTCCAATATACATTATGCAAAGGATCATTACATGAGTAAAATGACCAAATCATACAGGAATTTCAATTTTATGGTTACAACTGTTTGACATTAAACATAAATTGACCAAATTTATATATTTTTTTTTTTTTTGGTACATGACCAAATTTATATTGGCAACAAAGAATTGCCACGCTATGTTTTTCATGACTCTAAACACAATTTCTCATCAGTCTCTAACTTGCACTCTACATTCTATACACCCGTCTTCATGAGTCGAGCTATCAAAGAGCTCGTCTCCTGTGCACAAGGAAAACTTGGCTTTTGAAGAGTGTTCCATGAATTCATGAGTGATGTCTGTAAATCCATTTTTTTCATAGCTCATAAATGCTCCTAATGCACCAAGAAACCCTTCGTGACGCAAAAATAAAGCTTTTGCTTCGCCTTTTGACCTTTAACGTTCCACAAAAACGACAACTTCTCAGTCCACATGAGACGATAATGGTTATTAAGGTACATAAATGGCATGTGTGTCTGGAACTGTTTATTAAGATACAGAAATATCGGGTAGTACTTATAATCATCAATCAAAATATGAATCATTCATGAAAAAGTGATTCATTTAGGCCCTCTCATGGTATATGGTTCATTATACGGTTAAGCATCTCATATATAAGATGAACAAGATGCATGTAATTACCAAAAATGGACGCCAACAGAAATTGTATCCATTGTATATTCGTGACCCCTAATGAAAAATCCTCCAAAAAATATCCGCTTCAATCCGAAGCGTAAAGCATTCAAGTAAGCAATCTGTAAAGGAAAACAACAGTGGCAAATACGAAACCAACTGAATCAAATTTATAATGAACCCAACATATTATATTACAATTGATAATTCAGCCATTCACCCAAATTAACTCGTCTTAATTTTTCTCAAAAGAACATCTTTTTAGTACTCGAGGTTATTCGCAAAGTGACACTGAAAAGAACTGTCTTTTTAGTTTCTTCTTTTACCCATGCCAGTTTAATTCTTGTAGCGTTAGACTTAATTAATTATAAGGCTATCATTTCTTTTAACTGACCTGCCCAATGTTATTTGAAATCATTCTAAGTAGCGACCTGGCTACATCCTCAGCTTTGTAATCCTCGAGTTCTTTCTTTTCAGATACTGGCTTGCCGAAGCTAGAAGCAATGGTTGTTGAAGTAAGGCCGATCTGAAAAGTGGTCAGTGGAAATTTTTAGTCATTTTAATCAATAAGCAAGCATTTTAATCACACACCGAAAATCAGTGTTCAGGTTACGTGCTTCCTTCCATGTGTGAGATCAGGGACTCTCACATGAGAGTGTGCAATAACTACTGATTCAAAATCAATAGAACACTTCGAATACGGGAAATACACCCATTATTAGGTTCTATAATATCATCCCATAAAACCCTCAATTCGCTGATTAAAAGTGAATGATACAAACCATGAAAAGTGCAGACTTCACATTCATCTGCAAAGTACAGTTCATTATTAGTCAATAGAACTTCTGACACTGTCTTCTCCATCAGAAAAATGGAGGCATGTCAAGATCGATTACAAAAACTCACACTCGAAGTACACGTTGATTTCACATGATACTCATGAATATGTGTAAGAAAGGGTGTACATACTTTGGAGTAGTCCATTCCGCCATATATATCTCCAACAAGCATGTCTATTACTCTGTTGTTTCCCTTGTGACTCAATTCTAATAACTCATCAAAACTGAAACAGAACAGCAATTGACATGAGTATTGGGGGATCATTAATCATACCAGAAATCGACAAAATGAAAATCACATTAAATGATCATGTGAAAAGAGAGAAGTTATATCACAATGAGAGAATTAAGAAATAACCTTTTGCATTTGGTTAGAAGTTTACCCAAGCCCCAGAATGTACCACCACCTACACTTGTTCCACTGACTCTCTCAAACTTGTTGTCACCATCTACCTAACAAAGCAAAAGAGGACTTATATAAATAAGAAAACAAAAAAGAAATAAAATTCCCCATCGTTCATATCAAATATACATGATTTTTTCACTCGACATTCTTTTTAGAAACATAAATACACTGTCAAATGGAGAGTATATTGGAACAGCCTACTTTATTCACAAAACTGGAAAAGGAAAAAATAGCAATGAAGAAAAGAAATCAACAAAATTTCAAATCTACACTATGCAAAGAAAAAACAAGATAAATACGTCATGAACATTAACAAATATTGGTACCATGTTTCATGTTCAATGAGGCAAATGTAAAATTGTGCCCTCATAGTTCAGCCTAGGCATGGAATACGGACACATAACAAAGGATATGGGGGGAATGGAGAGGAAAAGATAAAGAAATCTTTAATACGAATGACAAGAAAACAATTATCAAACGAAATAACAATCTTTGGTAAGTCAATGTGTAAAAGTTTACCTTGATCATGCTAACTCCAGACCCCACATTAACTAGGAGATAGGGATACAAATCTTCGTGGTCAATCTGGACATACTCTTTCTGGCCATCCATATACGTATATGCTTCACGTTGCACTGCCTAAACAATATAAATGAAAATATCTGCTAAATCAACACACCAGAAGACAACCGAACATAGAGAACTGAGGACAAAAACAAGGAAAAATAAACAGAGAGAAAAACAATGGCGGAAAGATGCAAGCCAATGCACCCAATCATCAAATATCTATGTAAATTAAATGGCGGCATCGTAATTGACACAAGATTGTAATGAAACTGGAAAAATATTAACTATGAGCTAGTATTTATTATATGCAAAGGTGCAACAGGTAATCCTAATCTCCTCTCTATGGGTCTTCAAAACCATATTTATCAAAGGAAAGATTACCTAAGAACAATCCTGTGCCATAGCAACAGAGATTGCCATCTCCATTTAATTATTAGTAAAACTATTTTCTTCCCTGTAGATCAACATACACTTTTTTATTATTTTTTTTTTATTTTTTCTATGTTCTCGTTAACACATACCAAAAAGGAACTATTACACATTGTAACAACAAATTTGACGTAAAAAAAAATAAAATCGCACACCCTAAATTTATTTGAATAAGATCAACATTACGGGTACAATCTCCGTCTAGAACACTCCGGTACCTCTCTTCTTGGATTTATAATGGAAAACTTTCACATTGGATTTTTAGAGTTGGTTTCTTCAACTGGATCTCCTCTTGACTGGATTTCAGATTTTACTAACATTAATTTGCGGGTCAAGCAACCTATTTTAGACATTAAAACTTAAGTTTGATTGGAGGAAGAGCTTCTTGTGGAATGTCTCTGGATCTTCCTTCAAGATGGATTTCTCTCCTTGAAGAGGAATTACCGGATGCATATCTTCTTGGTCTTCTTCTTCATCAATTTGTGTGCCTTAATTCTTTGGCAACAGGCAGTTGTAGGAGAGAGATTGACATGATTAAGCACTTTGACTTGACCAGTCTTTGAAAATTTTTATATGATCTCTTTCCAACATCTTTCCGATTTAACTTGGTGGCAAAGTTATATATTAATCTATTAAATTATTCCACTTAACCTTAGATTTTAAATCCAAAATAAACTAAAGATGCTAATTAATAAAAATAATACAAAAAGTACGTGTCTAAATCATAGATTACAATATGTGACTAAAATATATAACCCATTAATGTGAAAGACCAAAGAAAATACACTCCCTACACATACGTATAAGTGCGGTTCTAGGAAAAAAAAAATAATGAGTATTCTCAATTCATTTGTCACCTAGTATTACTATGTCAAATCTTCCAAATTTATATATTTATACATCACTTAATAATAACTATATTTCTTTCCATACTTCAGTTATTTTTTCTCTCTTACATTTTAACTACTCTATTTCCATAGTTTATAAACATCTTATGCTATATAGTTGGAAGAATAGTATAAAACGATAAATAATTGAAAGCAAGAAATCCAACCTAAAACAATACTTATTTCTAAAAGAAGGGAGTGCAATGTAGGGTGCAGTACATAGTTCTTGAGGAATAAGGTGTATTAGAGAAAAATGGATCCTAAGCATTTATTATAATTAGACTTGAGTCCTAATATTCAGTATGAAGAATAAATATTACAAAGTTATTCTTCTTGCACCAAATGGCGTACCTTAAGAAGAAAATTAGCACCAGCAACAAGGGAACTCATTTCATCGACCTTGTCTAGAAAAATACCAAGCTTTTCTTTGAATAGATCAGAAAATTTGAACGCCCCGCCACCTGTAGCCTTCAAAAACCCCCAATTTATATTATTAGCTAATATATCATAAATTTAATTGCCAATTCAAAGTTCATGGAATGCCTGATTGTACAATTGAAGTATTCCCATTAGACTCTACCTTGACAATCAAAAGTCCAATGTAAAAGTAAACCTTCTGTTCAATTTACAAGTATGGTTCTAGCCTTCTAAGTCAGAGAAACGAAGAAAAACAACAGAAAAAAAAAAAAAAAAAAAAAAAAAAAAAAAAAGCTTTTTATTTATTTGGTAATAGTGAACGATAAATATGGTTCCTGGACGTATCAGAAACCATGTCCTTATTGATCAGTTGTGTTTTTTGACTAGTTTCATATCCAAACAATAACAAGTTTCTCATAATGATTTCATACTTATTACTGATAAACAAAACATCCAACTAGGAACTGAGAGCTACATTGAAAAATCAATTCTTTGGTTTAAGGTAAGGGCTAAGGCAACATCAAATGACTAGTTCCTCAATCATCTAAACTACCACATTTCATAAAAAATTACCTTAACGATAGTTTTGTCACTGGCTGGGCCCTCATCATCTTGATCACCTGGATTCACAAATCCTATAAGGCAAAAGACCGCAATACTATCGTACAAACAATACATCAAGAATACAGAAAATTCACCATAATTTTTTTTTTTTTTAGGTAAGGTAACAACCCAACATACACATTCAAGTTAAAGAACAAATGACTTAATCTTGGTTAATGACTGTCCATCTCCTATTCTCCTTAAGAAAGTTGGACTTCAAGGTAAGCTTTTCCTATTATGAAATTAATCTAAAAGGTAGTGGCAATTATAAATTTATAACCTAAAATCTCTAACTAAGCACCAAAAATTTTCACAGTAGCAACTAACTATTCAAGACTAAGGTGATAAGTTCAAATGTTATAAATTTCCACTCTAAAACTAGATCTCACTGCCAAAAATAGGAAAACCAGGACATTCAAAAGAAGACGAAATTTTCCAACCTAATCAAACATTAGATCATTAATTGCTTGATCTTTATCAAATACAGCTATGTTGAAGTGGAACATTTTCTATGATACAACTCCGAATGAAGAACTACATACGATAAAAAAACTCTTGTCAACTCCAAGACAAATTAATAACTACATACCATAGTGATGAAGGCGCTTTGAGGATATGAACTTTAAGCATTCACTGATCTTTCCTGTTTCAAACTTCACAAAATGTAGCTTCCCGGTTAGGACCTTATAATTTAAATTGCAACTGGGTGTGGCACTTCCATCCTTTAGAAGGCCATTTTTGTGATCGTCACTTGAGCCAGTACTGCTACATGAGAAGTACACGATCTTTATTAGAGAACCTACATATAAAAGTGGAGATGATTAATTCCAATATCGATTGGATGATTCATGCACTACGCCGTTATTCATGAAAATGGAGCATTTTTATCGAACGAGCTGCTCTTGAAACACGTCTGGATACCACTTATGATTTTTGCTTCCACCTTTTGGATTCAAATTTTTTTTCTCTAACTAACACATAATCATGCCTCATGATCAAATACACATAAGGTATCTAACTTGCCCACTGTATGTCCCAAGAGTTCTTTATCACTGTCCTGGATACGGAATAGAGCTACAAAATGCAAAACCATAATTATCATTCGTCCAAACTGTTCCTACTAAATTCCGAACATGAACCATAATCGAAGCCGAACGAAGCCCTGATCGGAATTTCCCCCTCCGATATAGGCTCAGCCGATTATCACAAAAATCCAACTTCAACAAATTCAGAAAAGATAAATTTAGAGAGAGAATAAACAGAACAAGTGGGATATGAATGAACCCCAAACACCCACAAATGTTGTGAAACGAAGATCACACGATCAATTGAAAAGCAAATACCTCCAATATCAAGAGCAAGGTTTGAGACTTCATCTTCACGCTCCTTGAGTTCTTTCCTCCATAAATTCGCATCCATCTTCTTCCTTAATTTCACCGAAACTCCTGTCAACAACCTTGTATATACAAATATACAGACGCGATGGAATCGGTTGTCAACAAAGGCTGCTGAATGAAAATGAAACCCAGCTGACGATCAACATATTCAACCAAATCCATCAGAATAAAGGAACATCTTTTTCACCTAAAATCGATCAATATTTTGTTTGTTGGGGTATATTAATGGAAACAACTTAATTAGGTTAGTGTAGAACCACAACCACTACAGAAAGATAGGAATTTTATTGGATAATTATGGGTGGGATTGAATATGATTTTGATTAGTTTTTAATTGGTTTTTTTTTTTTTTAAATATGGTTAACTGGTATAACACTCGTGTATTACAGCGGTGCTTGCTAATTTTTTTCTTAAAGTCTAAATAGTTGAAAATTTAAATACTTTTTACAAAAATATATACTACCTCCTGTTCATTAATGTCTGGATACATAACAAAATGGATGAATCAAAAAAGTCAAAACGACATTTATAATGAATAGGAGGGAGTATATTATTATATATTACCATAAAAACTTTTTATTTGTGCGACTTACATGTGTTATATTATATTCCCTCCGTTTTAATACTGTTTTATTTTTGAAAGTTGGGACCAATATGGATAAATGAGAAATGGAGAATTAGGGATCAAACCTAGCATTTGATAAATAGAAGACATATGGAGAAAGGGATCAAACCTAGATTTGATAAGTAGAAGACATAGCATTTGGGAATTAAGATAGAAAAAAAAAAAAAAAAATGCTCATACGTGCGCCATTTCAGGTAACCCTAAAAATAAAGAAAATGTAGCGGGCTATAAAAATGATGATGAAAACTCGTGAAAGCTGTTTTCAGTATTAGAAAGAGTTCAGTAACAAGTTCAAAATAAAACTATAACAGATCGTTCATCAACAAATACAACACAATTCATACTCCACACAGTATTGCTAGCATAAGATCCACCACTAGATGGCACAATACATGCAATTTTAACTAGAAAAGTCGGAACTCCATTCAATACTGCACCAAACCGAACTAAGTTGGCAATTTTTTGAAGTAAAAAACTCATCTAACCCTCCTCCTATCGCGCATCCTTTCTTTTTCGTGTTCATCTCTGTCCCTGCTGCCGCTCTTTTCACGCTCCCTCCCTCTCTCGTTTTCCGGCTCGTGCCCTCTCTCTCTCTCACGCCGTCTTTCTCTCTCTCTCCTTGCGTCAATTTCTCTTTCCCTGTCTCGGGCTGGTAATTTCCGGTGCGGGCTTCCACTCCTGCTTCGGCTGCGGCGGCGCTTCTTCTGGTGTTCGTTGGGGTCCTCATGTGGGTCCCGCCTCTCTGAGGATGAGGGCTCTGGAGTTTGATAATGTATATATATCACAAGGTATTACAAAAACTTATACACCCCAGAAAAATGGATTATTTGCACACGAAAAAAGAGAAAGCATACATTGAAAATACAAGAAAAGGCACGGCAAAGGTTCGATTCTATCTCACATGTTGAACAGCTGATTACATGTTATGAAAACACACTTCAGCTTTTCAAATAGGGTTTTATTAACAAGTGCAGTCCAAATAATTCACCAAACATAAACTGTAGTTGAAATGTACTTTTACACCCAAAAGTCCATTCTGACGGTGAACTCAAACAAGCAATTAATATTGAGAAATTTACAATAAATCTCTTTTTAGTTGCATATTTATGAAGTCTTTTTTCAAACTGCAAATACACTAACTTAAGTTTAAGAATGGTTTATTTTGTCATTGGGTTCTAAATTGTATTGTTTTTTGGTTTGCCTCATTTATGAATAGTTTAGGTATGGTTTTATTTTGAATGCGGTATTTTTGCAGAAGTTTTCAAATCGTGCAGTAAACATGTAAGAGTGTCGTTAATATTCATTAAAAAGCGGATGTGAATGCAATATGTTAAGACAAAAAGTTGGAGGGCTAATTGCAATATTTTGAAAAACTTAGGGTTGTAATTGTAAAAAAATTGGTTGCACCAGCAATTCCCATTATCTCTGCTTGCTACAGCTACATAAACAATATTGCTAACATCTACGGTGGTCCTTTAATTTTAAAATCAGCTGGATTTAATTTTATGTATTTATTTTATATTGCAATTGTCCCTACAATAACTCTAGCGCAGAGAGAGAAGGAAGAACTATGTTGTAAAGCACAGTTGCTTACTCCGGCCAGAGGCATTTGCGTTGGGAACATGTAAACCATACTCAGTTTGCAACCGACTCCTATGGATCGCAACCTTTTTCTCAATTTCCTCCAAACTTTTTATCCCTCGTTCTTCAAGAGATTCACGGTATTCCATCAAAGCCACCTCCAGGCGCCTCATTTTTTGTCTGGAACAAAAAAATAGAGCTCCACATCATCATACACATCATCACGCTCAACGTTCAAAACTCGAAACTACAAAAGTCTTCAACATTTAATTTTTAGATTAAATTGATTAATTAATTAATTACCTCTGCTCCTCATTCATTCCACCATCGACATGCCCAGAATTACCTGCCTCAACAGTGAGCTCCACCTCCTCACTCTTGTAAACACCACCACCACCTGCATTCTCGCTGCCCGAAGATGAATAAGTCAACCCCAAGTCCCTTGGGCTCCCATCATTCTCCCCCTCACTCCCGTTGTCCTCCCGGGCCCACTTGGATGCCGGGAGAATTGGCTCATTTTTCCCGTTCCCATCATCGACACTGCTTCTTCCAGAAACATCTGGCGGGCTCGAGAACACAGCAGCAACTCTCCCCAAATCGACATCATCCCTTCCCGACGCCCGCCCGTGATCCACCTCAAAACCAACCTCCTTAGAGCCTGCCAGGGTTCGGGTAACAGGCCTCAGCTCATCCTCAATCCCAAAACCCCTCTGTTTCTCGGCCTCCTCCAGGTAGAGCAGCCGGGCCACCATCACCTCACGTCCACCGACCAGGGACAGCCCATTGTGGCGGCAGCGCCTCTCGAGCTCGGTGAGGGGTAAATTGAGCAGCTCCTGCATGGCGGCGCCCCTACCCATGGCCAGGGCAGCATCTGGGTTGACTTTTTGACCAGGGGGGAGATCAGATGAGCCGGGTTTGAGATCAAGGTCGGGGGTGTCGCCACATATAGAATGGAAGGGGACCACACCAGAGCTGCTCGGGCGGAGGAAGGTGGCCCGCATGCCGTTTACGTATGCGTCTGAGAATAGGAACCAGTCGGCCCATACTTGGAGAACTTTTAGGACACGTTCCTGGTGGAAATAGGGAGAAAAATGTTTTGACGCCTTTTTGGAAATCGAGATAAATGTTTTGGATGAGATGTATTTTGAAATATTTATCTAATTAATGTTTAAAATAATTTGAAATTAATGTGTGGTAGGTGCTGCCGTTACTTATAGAACAGTAATAGGTAAAGGGGATTGTGGTGATGTGTGGGCCTACGAGGTTATTTTAAGTGAAAAATGGAAGTTGAAAATGACGATGATTCCTGATAGGAAAAGTTGGAAACAAACAAGATTTTGTTTTTAATGAATAGATGGAAAATGGAGGTGGGTGATTGGGCAGAGAGGTATTATAATGGCATTTTTACCTTCAGGGCTTCGGCTGTGATTCGTCCGGTTACGCTACGGTACAAGTCGTTAAAGCTTTCGATTATGTCGGGCAGAGTAGCCTCGAATTTGGTACGATAGGCGGATGCGTTCTTGACAGGGGCACTGCTGTTGTGAAGGATGTCCGAGACAAGCATCAGTCGAGCAACTTTAGTAGGGATCGGGGTTTCTTTTAGAGTCAGTGACTCAGTCAACACTTCAACAACCTGGAAAAAAGAAGTATGTTACTATAAAAAAACATTACAACAAAGCTGTTAAATCTCCTAATGGACCTCACCCCTTTCAGCTGACAGGCAGAATTACCAATATCACATTCAATTAATTTGAACTTTAATTAGAACAGTCAACTCAGGCTGAAAATATTAATCACTAATTGCTTTCGCCTTTCAGTCACAAATTGTTGATCCTTCCAGAATATTTCTGTGTTTTCTCTCTTTACCATAGGCCCATAATCCATGTGCTGATGAATTCAATATTTCTTATGAACTCATTAACTTTCCCATGAAACTGATTTATTATGTCTAACACACTTAGTCTATCAACACAAGCTCAAGCAATTACCTCTCCTGCAGCATCTGCATTATCCAGTGCAAATCCCATGGCTTCTTTTATCTGGCTCCTTTCTAAGGTTAACGCACGTAACATATCCTCAAACTCGTCTCTTTGGGCATCTGTTAGAGTTCGTTCAATCTCCACACGCTGTAAAGCAGATAGAGCCAATAAAATTAAAATCACAAAGTTATGGGCCCAGATTATATTCATATGAAACCGAACATAGAACATCAGCAAACAGCACAAAGGACCAAGTTAGAAGATACTTTGCTTTTCCCCGCAGCATAAGTGCTCACAGCTTCCTTCTCATGATCTGGACCTTTGGCTATTGGTAGAGGAGGTGGTATCCATCTTTACATGCAAATATCAGGGGAAAAGAATTGAAAAACATAAATCACACACCATCAAAAGATTCACATAAGAAGCATTCACTCCCGAATGGTTGTTAAAGGCTTTATAATGATCCTTTTTATGCGAACAAGCCATGTTACATGAGCAGTACGATCGTCATGCACAAATGCAGTTACAGGATTTCAATCAATAAACATTTGTTTGCAGAAAATATCTAAGGCTACGTTTCGATTGAGGGATTTAAAATCTCTTGATTTCGAATTTTTAAAATACAAATATTCTACTTCCAAACTCCTTGAATGGATTTGTGGAAAGGATTATAAATCCATAGTCTAGCTCGCATCGATGGTGTTGACTCGCGGTGATGATGAATCTAAAATCTAAATGAAGAGTCGTACTCGCGGACGGTCATCAACGGTGGGATAAACAATGGATTTCGAAAGACTAGGTTTCAGGAGTCATTTAAATCCTTCAAATAATAACTAAAATCTATTTAGCATGAATTTAAATCCTTCAACTTCTATTATCATCCCAACATGCATAGGGATTTGAACTTGTAAATTTGAAATCCATAGGATTCAAACCTTCAATAAATCCCTCAATCAACATTTAGCCTAAATGCCCATATAGGAAAGAAACTAGGCTTTACCTTCCACTACCAGTGATCATGATGAAAGGCTCTGTTCGCCATCTCTGAAGAGTATCACCCTGCACTTACACAGATGTATTTTATGGTTATTACTTCTTATGATAAATTATGTGGTACATATTATAGTTAAAACAAACAAAAACAATGTACAACATGAAGTAGCACAAAACATTTTTCATTTACAACTGACAATCTCACCTGAGCAAATGAATATAGTCTCCAAACATAGTAAGTGTGTTCCCTTGAGCCAAGCTCAAACAAGAAATTGAACAAAGGATTCCCGCGGCCCCGCTCCATTATTGCTTGTTCAAAAGCACAGCCGCCGTCAAGAACATAGAGAGCCATTGTGTCAATAACATGCTGAAGATGGCCATCATCGGGAAGAACCACAGTAATATCAGGAACATTTGGGGTAAGTACCTGCTCAACAGAAGCAGACAATTTTCTATTGATCATAGTCAACATTAACAGTATTAACTATAGTATGAGAAGCTCCATTGATCTAAAATATTTCAACTTAGAAGAGTATCTATAGATACCTATTAGTACATAGTTGCAAGATACCTCAACACAACACTTTTTTCACACTATGAATGGTTCATGGATCAGTAGCAGATGGATATGTATAGAATGAGTCATAAATAAGAACATCGCACTAGTAGCATGGATGCAACAATCCGCAATAATAGAGAGATTTTTATAGGGCCCTTGGACATACTTCTTTAATACTCCAATAAATCCCTAACTGGACTTTCATTTACTTCAGTTTTAAGTAACAAGACAAAGGTTTATATGTATTCTTTTTACCATGTTTCAACATTTTTCACAAGAAATGACAATCTCGGATTTTAGTCTTTCAACAATTATAGAACATCCAACAACATTTATTTGCCAACATAAACAACCAAAAGTGTGAATTGCATGCAAGTAACACCTACCAACTCTGAGTTCTGGCTTGGGACGCTGGTTACTGGGGGACCAGAAGGCCCAGACAAAATGACAGTCGCACCCTGAAAATCAAGGGAGAAAATAAGATGTAATCATCATGTGATTAGGCTCAAAATAATAATCACAGAACATGTTAGATCCTCTCAGCTCTAACAATGCATCAAAAAATCAATCAGAATATGATCAAGAAAAAAAGACAAACAAACCTCCTTGCTCCTGATGGCCATCTGTCCAGGCGGTGGAGCAGGAAGTGCCTGTGAAGGAAGGGAAACCGACTTACCCCACCCAATCTTCAACTCATATTCATAGACCACCACACCTGGATCAGAGAAAAATACATTTAGCAACAACCAGAGATGAATCATTTACACACAAGCCATCAAGTCAAACTGCAATCATCAATATCATACATAAGCAAATATTCGACAATAAAGAACATTGAGAAACCTTGCATTTCATCCTTTGCAGCTTGAGCATCAAGTCGATTCATGAAAGCAACAAACCCACAATTCCTTTGCCGTCTCTTTTCCTCTTCCGTTCTGGGCCACATAATTTTAACACTAGCAATAGGCCCAAACCTTCCAAATGTCCGTAAAAGGAAATTCTCATCAACCTGAAAAGGGAAGAACATAAAAAGTATTAAGAAAAATCTGATGAGAAGTTCCCAGACGTAAGGCAGAAGGTTACATACTAAGAGGTCAAGATATTCATTAATAAGGTAAGCAGTGGAAAGTTTCAACCTGAGGTGATAGGTTTCCCACATAAAGATTTGTTGTTTGTGGATCTCCATCATCAAATGATCCAGGTCTTCCCATTGGATCAAATTCATCTGGTAGCTCATCAAAACGGCTGGATGGCTGAGGCAGAGAAACAAATAAATATTTACTTCAAGCTAAATTAGAAACAAGCAGATAAGACTGCATAATATTGCGACGGGGTAGTGGGTACGTATACATACAGAGCAAAAGAATAACGATTATAAAATTAGAACCATTCAGTACAACGACAACATAAAAAATAAAGATATTTGGGCAGTAGAGCTCCATGTTTTAGTAGAGATAACAAAGTCCTAAAAACCACTAACCGTAGAACTATCACCATGACGCATATCACGCCAACCTTCACGCTCTTGATTTCGCCTCTCCCTCATCTCTTGTTCTTGCTTCAGCTCCTCCATAAAATGATCAATATTTCTCGACTTCCCCTTTTCTCTCTCCTTTGGCTTCTCCTCTTTCTAGAGGTAGTGACAAATAACTCAAAAAGTAATCAAACAAGTAAAGAGTGAACAAGGGGGTAAGGAAGGTGCTTAAGTAATCAAACAAGTAAAGAGTGAACAAGGGGGGTAAGGAAGGTGCTTACTTTCTTTTCATATTCTTTACCCTTTGTTGCCATTGGAGGTGGAATGAAAGATGGTACATACCTGCAGCAAGTTTGAGAATAATCTAAAACCTATTCCAGTGATACAAACTTCCAAGACAATGAGAAAACAACTATTTATACAGACAAAATCTAGAAAGATTAAAAGAAAAGGAATGAAACCTAAAAGACAAACAGGACTAGAATTCCTCAAAAAAGATGCCGACTACATAAGACAAACAAAAGGTCCAGGCCATGTTCAAGTAAGTCTACTAGTTTAAAATCTACGGAGACGGATAAACTCGCACGAAGTTTAGCTTTTCGTTCGTCAGAAAATTTTGAGCCATGCATATCATCTAACCATTTTGTTCCCAAGCAATGATGACTTAAGGTCATATTAAATGATAATACCTAAGTTGTTCTAATTTCTTTCGTACAATATGTTACTGCTCCCCGGATTATTTCCTTTTACTTACCTTCTTAGATTTAAGTCATAATTTTCATTGTGCCATGCGCATATAATTAGTTGAATAGATCTGATATATCCTATCTTAAATACAGAAATACCAAATGAAGATATCAAGTTGTCAGCCTATATTCATAGTTTTTCACCTAAACCAAAAAGCTCGGAATGGCATGTGTGATATTAGCATTTTGGTTCAAAAATGTTGAAATTAACACCAAAGAATAAATAATATGACTCCACATTTCAGCAAATCTTATTCCAATGAGCCAAGCAATCAAACAAGACTACTTTAATTTAATCAATTCAGTTCTACACCTTACATGACCTGATCGAATTCAAAATCTAAAAACATACTATGGCATCATAACATGATGTGAACTTTATGAGGAAAATATCGCAATGTATTGCTTGCCTTCAAAACATCCATCCAAAACCTAAATCAGCCCAAGAATGAATTAGTTATTCTCCAGCTCAGGGATCGTCATGGAGGATGTTTGAATCATAAGGCAGGAACAGAAGTTTGAGCCGTAAGTCCTGCGAATATGCAAAAGGACTCATGGAAGGCTTCAAGATGTTAGAAGCCTTGAAGGTGGTCTGCATCCATTGGTTTCCACAGGAAGTACATATATCGAGGGCCAACATAACTCTATATACGGATTACTACACATAGAAACATAATGTCTCTGTTTATTACTTTATTATTAAAAACTAGCTGACTTTATTCTTCGCCAATATATGTAAAACTGACATACACCCACACACTTCACCATGACACAGATTCATAAAGCACGCTCTTCATCAAAACTTGCACCACGTTGTCTCTCTCTATGCTGTTTACTCCTGGCAAGTTGCAGCATACTTCAACAGAAAAAGCATCTTCCTCTCATGGGCAGTAAGAGGAACTTTGAATATATAAATTATAAAAAAAAAAAAAAAAAAACATCCCGGAACATTATCTTCTTGTGCAGGATAGATAAACAATGCAATCATTACTTCGAACACACTTATTTGCAAAAGCAAATAAAATCGTATCTCTCAGCCAGTTCTTTAGAACTAAGAAAAAACTAAGACAGCACATTCAGCATGTGAATATATCATCAAAATAAAGTTCTTGTACTTAAACTTCTGATGATAAGAGCATTGCAACATACTTAAACAAAAGCATTTGTTTACCTACTCCCTTTCTTTAAACCAGAACCCTCATCTTTGGAATTTCCACCTGCCATCCGCGAATGAATAGAAAGCCCATATTTTTATTAATGTGTCCACGTGAAAAATAAATAATTCATTTATCCACAATGCAAAATAATAAACAGGATTAATTTAATCGCAATAAATTAAAATTTAAAATTATATGTGTGTACTATATTACACTTATATATACAATTGATATCCTACTAACCTTCGGAGTCATTTTTCAGCTTCTCATTAGGATTTATCATTCCACCTCTGACAAAAGCCTTCGACCCTGGGGTATTATCCGCTTGAAATGATTCTACAAATTCTTGATACAACCTAGCAGTTTCATCCTCGGCCCTCTGAAGCATGGAACAACCAGAATCAGCAGGAATACAGGATGCATAAATATTCAAAATTTATCTCAATTATTATATTATATGGCGGTAAGCAAGCAATTGAATGCCTTTTTCTTCGCCTCTTCCTCTTCTCTATGTTTCTGAAATGGGGTCTTCTTCCGGGTACTCATGTTTCTTATCTGTGTAATTCCAGAAAACTCAAATTAGCTCATTCTGGATAGAAAGAAGAAGAATTGTTCAAAGACAATAGTCACAGTTCCGCTCCCATACGGGTAGGCATGTCAAAACGGCCGGCGAGGCAGGCCAGCCTGCTGAAACCCGCTGTTTGGCAGGGCAGCCCGCCATCCAGGCGGGTCTTTAAAATGCCAGCCAACCAAAATTGTGAAAGAGAGAGAGAGAAGAAAAAAAAAACTGGCTGCAGTGCTGTGACTCTGCTGAGGCCCAAGATGGCTGGAAAACTCACATTCAGAGTTCAGCAATCAGCCATACGCATCCAAAATAATATTGTGCAAATAAGTCACAAATTCAAAGTTCATACAAATCAAAATTAATCAATAAGTCCAAAATTAATCAATGTTCTAATGTGCTCACACTTCACATAATCAAAGTCCACATACGCATCCAAAATTAATCAATAAGCCAAAAAGTTCGGCCATCATTACCGGAATGGAAGCTGCCTCGCCGCTCGGAGTGACTCTCTGTGCCGCTGCCTCACCGCTCGCCGGCTCGCACACTCGCTTCCTCACAGCCGCCGCCCGTCGGCCGCCTCCAAGGTCTCGCAGTCTCGCTTCTCGCCGCCGGTCTCTCAGGTACCGCTTCTCGCCTGCCACAGTGCCGTCGTCGCCGCTAGGGTTGAGAGAAATAGGGTTTTGCCCCGAACAGTGGAGAGGTGAGATTAGGAATTTAGAGTAGGGATTGACGGATCGATCGTCTTCTCTGTTCTCATTTGTGTTATTTTTTCTGAAATGGAAAACGAAGAAGCGTTTGAGTTTGAGTGACAACAATGTCAAATGTGTTTTCAAATAAAGACGGCCGGGTCGACCCGTTTAGGCAGTGCTACAGGCCTTTAATATGAGGCCCAACCCACGATTTAGACAGAGCGCCCCCAATTTGACTAGGTCTAGATCGGACATTCAATATGGGGGCCATTAATATGTTTTTTAATTGAAGTAATATAATATAGATAAATAAAATTAAACTAAATTAAATTAAATTTATTTATTTATAATAAAATAAAATGATACTTCTATATATAATATATTATTAAAATAGTAATTTGTAAATAAAATGCGTTGTATTCACTAATCACTATACATCATCACCCCTATATATAATTCTCGAATGTGTTCAGCCTATGTGGCTATTTTTGCTGCTTCGGAATCCTACTTGGCGAAGAATCATGCTTCGTAATTAGGTTTGGGCAAATAATATTGATATATTAATAATTAATAATCTAGGTTCGGACATTCCATAAATATTATTTAGCTAACTTAGGTATTTTAATATCACTTGTACTAATATAACCTTTTAATTCTTTGTAATTTTACATATTGAGGCATTAAGTCACTAATATATCCCTGACTTTTGATTTGTTTCATATAATTAACTATTGAATTGTAAATGTATTTTAAAAGTTGATAACTTGTGTATTTCTTATCGGTTTATATAATACGTATTTATTTCTTTTATTTGGTTTTTATATTACTTTATATTTTTTAAAAGTTTGACAAATATATAAATTTATTTTCTCAGAAAAATTATTAATTTTGAATCTGTAATAATAATTTATGTAACTATTATTTATTCAGTTTATTTATTTTAATTCTAGTTAATGTATAATACAATGTATAATACACTAAAAATTCGATATAATTCAAAAAACTATTAATTAAAATATCAAGCATAATTTGTTATGATCTTTAAATAATATAAATAAGTTTTGGTTATTTTTTTTATTTATATTTTTAATAAATATAAAATTGTATTAAATTTTTAATCTTATTTATAACTTAGAATCTCTTTAATACGACTCTCTGAACCCAAATAGCCTTCTTCCCCGTCGCCCTCTTCCAGTCTCTTTCTCTGAAATTGTTCGTTGCCTCCCCCGGTAGGGCACGTCGAGAGCACGTCGGTGGTTCTTCTGGGCCCCGCAGCTCGCTACGTTGAGATGCGCCGCTGGAAGGGGCTTTTTCACCGGGGAGTAGCTGGTGTCGTCCTCCGGTTACTTTCCTCTGGTACCGGGCTAGAGTGGCGGATGTTTGGCTCTCCTCCGGTATCTCCGTTGTGGCGGCTTCCGGTGCTCTCTCGATGTGAGTTGCAGCCCCAATTTCCCGATTTAGGGTTTGGGGTGGGGTTAGGATTCCGGCCATTTGGCTCTCCCGGTTCTGGTGCAGAGTTGGTGGTCAGCGATTGCAAGGTGTTCGCGGATTCTTGGCCTTATGGTCGCCGATCGGGTGTGTGGGGCTTTGGAGTCGCGGTCGCCGAGTTTGTTTGGCGGAGCTTCTGTGCTGGCTGGGCTGACTTGGGTTTGACTGGGCTGGGCTGGGCCGGGCTTCTTCCGGCTAGTTTGGATGGTCTGAGTTGCTTCGGTCAGGGCAGAGCTGGGTCGGGCTAGGCTGGGCTGTTGGTCTGGTGTCTTTTCTCCGGGTGCGGGTGGAATTGTTCATCTGAATGAAGGCTTGGTCCACCGGCTCTTTATTCAGTTAGGCGTTCTTTTGCAGTTTTTGGGTCTGGATCCTGGGCCGAATCTTTACCATTGTTGTGCTCGATGTGGTTTCTGATGTGGGAAGGGTTCCCGTTTTATTTAGTTTTGTTTTTGTCGTAGCTTGAGTCTGTTTAGTATATTGTTTTTGGTATGGGCTCTTTGCCTGAGGTTTTTGTATTGTCTCTTTGGTCTGGGCCATTGGCCTTGTGTTGATTACCCCGTGGGGGCAGATCTTATTCTCCCGTGGGGAGCGATCCTAGTTGTGTTGGTGTCTTTTAGTTGTGTGTAGTGTGTTTCCTCTTCTAGCGTGGCTAGCGAGGCTCTAGTCGGTCTTTCGACCCGTCTTCCCAGTTTCTAGTTCCTAGTTGTAATTTTCAGCCATGGGCTGCTTTTTTGCACAGTTGTACGTTTGATATATAATTCCTCTATCGTTTCGAACAAAAAAAAAGAATCTCTTTATTCGGTTATTGTATTATTTAAAATTTCAAATATATTTACTTAATTCGTATATTATTTATAATTTGGAATCTATTTACTTAATAATTATATTATTTATAAGATAGAATCTATTTACTTAATTATTATATTATTTATATTTATAATATATTTATTCAATTATTATTATTTATAATATATAACATATTTATTCCATTATTATAAAATATATATACTGAATTATTATATTACTTATAATCTATATTTATGATTATATTATTTATAACATATAATCTATTTATTCAATTATTATATTACTTATAATTTAGAATATATTTACTTCATTATTATATTATTTATAATTTAGAATCAATTTATTCATTTATTATAAAATATACATACTGAATTATTATATTATTATAATTTATAATTATCATTATAGTTTAGAATATAATTTATTCAATTTTTATATTATCTATAATGTAGAACCTATTTATTCAATTATTTATTATTTATAACTTAGAATATATATATATTTATAATATAATATAATTTAGAATCTATTTACTTAATCATTATATATAATAGAATCTATTTACTTAATTATTATATTATTTATAAATATAATCTATTTATTCAATAATTATATTACTTATAATTTAGATTATATTTACTTAATTATTATATTATTTATAATGAAATCTACATACTAAATTATTATATTATTTATAATTTATAATTATCATTATAGTTTAGAATATAATTTATTCAATTATTATGTTATTTATAATATAGAATATATTTATTCAGTCATTTATTATTTATAATTTAGAATATATATATTTATAATTCAGAATGTATATATATACTTAATTAATATATTATTTATAATTTAGAATATATATATTATTTTCTATATATGTTATATATATATATATATATATATATATATATATATATATATATGAAATCTATATCTATATCTATATAAAAAGAATTACCATTTTTTAAAAATGGCAAGTGAAACTATGGTCAAATATGATTGAGCATTAATTGCATGCTATTAATAGCAAGTTTTTATTTTATTTTTTTTATTTACAAACATGAATCATTAATTATTGCATTTAAATGTGGAGTTTGTTAAGTTGAGTTTGTAATTTATTTTTGCGCAAGATTAAGTTGTTCTTTTTTCATTTTCATAAATTAAAAAAAAAAATCTTTAACATATAATCGTGTACCACATTGTAAATTTTATTTTATTAAAAAAATAAATAACGCCTAATTTAATAATATAAACTTACATTAGTATTTACAAAAAATCAGAAACTCTTTTAATATCAACTCGGTTACTACAATTGTTTTAATCGGATGCTTTTATTTTAAAAATATAAAATAAATTACAGTTCATTTATTTGGTGGATTTGGTTCAATTAATAAATTACAGTTCATTTAAACCCCTAAATGATAAATTGGTGGATTTGGTTCCATTAAGTTCTAAAAATTTCGATCATTGAATATAATTTGAAATTCAAAATCCTTTCTCATATTTGATATAAAAAATTCAATTGTGTTTTTTGTTCCTAACAATCAGATTGCCGAAAAAAATACCTTAAAACTTGAATTGAACATTTGAAATTCAAAATTCCTTCTCATTTTAGTTGCCCTAAAATTGGGCTTAATTCAAAATCTCTTCCTAATATAAAGGATTTTGTTCAAATTGAATTAAAAAATATCTAATCACATGCTTCTATTCTTGGACGGCTAACCTTACATGAAGAATTTTGCGCCACTTTAAAATTAACAAACCTCTTGAAAATTACAAAATTATAATGAATTTCATTTTTTTAGGTGTCAGTTTGCACGAAATTCAAAATGATTTAAGAATTTCAAATCAACCGAAATTCATCTCTTTAATTTTTTTTCCATAAGTTTCAAAATTTTACAAAAGTCAAATTACAAATGTATTGTTTCAGAAATCAAGAGGATAATTTTGAAAATAGACATTTTTTTTTTTCAAATTGTCTTAGTCTCCATTCAATATAAAATAAATCCCATTTTATTTGTAAAATTGATAAATCTGCATAAAACGTAGAATTTTATGCGTACAAAATTTCTTTTTATAGTAACTAAAAATAATAATAATTTTGAAATCTTTTGTACTCAAATTACTTAAAAGAATAATAATAATATTTATAGTAACTAAAAAATAATAATAATTTTGAAATCTTATGTACTCAAATTACTTAAAAGAATAATAATAATAATAATAATAATAATAATAATTTTGAAATCTTTTGCACTCAAATTACTCAAAAGAATAATAATAATAATTTTGAAATCTTTCATACTCAAAATTTTCAGGTACGGTAGTATTGTCATAATTTTCAACATCATGTCAATGTTTATTTTATATATACTAGGTAACTTTTCTTTCGAAAACTTTATAATGTATTTATTTAGGCT